TACCTCAAGCAACGTTTATGCCCTAAAAATTAATACCATGCTAGACTAACTTCAACCATAAACACCAATCTTTGGACTCCATACCAGCTAGGTAGGAGTGCGATCAGTTTAATGAAACAATTAACACCATTGACTATTTAGCTCTATCAATAACTGCAAGCTAATTGATTTAATGCAAGTTTCAGAAAAAAGAATTTCTTAGGACAGAATAATAAATTTTATTCATTGATGGGAACCTATATTAAATTCCGTAAAATGCTCTTACCAGTAAATAGTACTACACCATCAGATGATATCCTCACCAAATCCGGTAGAGTTTTATTGAGGTATCTAGGAGATAGGTAATCCAAAGCATCTGAAACAATTACAAGAGAGAAAGATTTCGGCCTGTATGGAAGAGGAAATTTGATATCAGACACACGCACACTGCCTCTATGGATAAGTGCTTTGCAACTATTATCAGCTTCCTCTATATCATATGGTTCTATTCCCCAGGCTTCGGTTTCCTCCTCCTTCAGCAATTTAGAGACCACATAGCAAGTATCAGGACCAACATGTAAAACCTTATGCATGCTATCTCCATATGCTTTCTGTAAAACGGGAATAGCTTGTTGGACCTCTCCACTGCACAAATAATCCCCTGCATTTGGATGTAATGTATATTATTACAGAATATCTAGAAGTGGATTCAAGGTAAAGGTCACCGCATGAAACAGATGATAGGTACTACTAAGTCATGCTTTGTCAGTTATATTTGGCTGCAGGAGAAAGTGATTAACATGTGATCCTCCAACCCGTTTATCCATCTTTATGAACATTTCAAAGGTTCCCCCAACTTGGGAGGATTTTAATCATCCAAACAAAAGGAAGGAAAATCAAAACTATCTGTCATGCTCTTAACCTCCTTCTCTTCCTTTTTCCTTTTTGATCTATTCCCTTCTCCTTACGTCCAAACATACAAAACATTGAACCCAAATTCTAAGAAATTCATCACTGCTCCAGTATGTTGCAGTTATTGTAGACAAGTAATTAGAATAGCAAAGAAAACTGGAGTGATATGAAAAGAAACAGGGAAACCACATAATTCTAACCCACTCTTTAGAATAATGCCATTACAGAGAAACAGGAAAACCACAAAATAAGATGCAAATAGTTGAAACAACACGTTTACTGCATTGTAGGGCAAACACATACAACACTCATGACGTAAGATCCAGTTAGTGTCAACAACTAAGACTATTTTAATCCTGCATACATGTTTCGACTCATTACATTAACTGCATCAAGATAATAGTCATAAGTCATGTACCAATCTTAACTAGAGATGACAATTAAACCCATACCAACGAAATCTGACCCGAGTTTAACGAAAAAAACCGAGTTGATTAGGGTAAAGCAGGTTCGGGTTCGGATTTTCTCTGCTTTGAAAAGTTGGGAGACAGGGATGAGTAATGCAATCTCCCTTGACCCACCCCGATTTTATATTTAAATTTAAATATAAAAATATTAATATTTTAAAAGTATTTCCTTTTCTTTCTCCAATATATACAAGGTCATTTTTTTTATATTTCACCATTTTTATTTTTCTTATATCCACTTTTTCATTCTTTCATCTTTTTTAATCTTTTATATCAATTAGTTCATTACATTATTCTCTTTCTCTTACCTTTCACTTATTCACATTTCCTTAATCTCTTCAATCAATTTAATTTTTTCAACCCAATTTGACAAGCACAAAGTTAGTTTTTCTTTTTTATCTTTTTATAAATATTCTACATCAATCTTAGTAGTAACTAATTTTATTTTATTTTTAATTTATCCTTATTAGGTTTTATTATGTCATATTTTTTAAATGTTATTATTCTTATTTGTCATATATCAAATTTTATCTTAATAAAATAATTGTATTTTGAAGGATTAAAAAGAATTGATAATTAAAACTTTTATTATTTTGAACTAATTAAATAAGAATTAACTTATTATAAATCATATATTTCATATTATAAATATTCTTAGATGACAACTTAAAAAAATAATTAACTTATATATATATATATATATATATATATATATAAAATAAAATGTTTGAATATAATAATAATAATAATAATAATAATAATAATGTTATAAAGATTCTATATTCATATAAAGGAAAAATGATTCAATGTTTCTTTTACATACATATTTTAATATAAATATAATAAATTAAAATATATATTTAATTAATAATAATAATTACAAATCGTAAAATTATAAATATATATTAATGTATAAAAAATACATAAAAATATTAAAATTAATTTATTATACGTATAATTATTTATTTAAAAATAGTGTATATCGAGGATTGGACAAGAAACTCGAAACCCTACGGGACCGGACGAGAAACCAGAAATCCAACGAGGACGGAGACATAATTTCTAACCCGAGGATCAGGGATGAGGGTAGAGACAGTTAAAAAAGTTGGGATGGGGGTAGGGGTGGCGAAACCTGTCCTTGCCCCACTGCAATGCCTAGTTTGAACCCAACTAGAAGTGTCACAATTACAATACAATTAAGAGGATCCCAATTAACGCATGACTAAAATCTCACATTATCACTATCCTGAACAAGAAGGAAAGATAAAATAACTAACTAGAATAAAAAAGTGCCAACAGCAAAATGAACTTTTTTCTTTGTTTCAGTGATGCACTTTAAAGAAACATCGAAAAAGACGGTAGAAAATGCAATTTGAGAAAGAAATATGGAATTTATATTATGAGGTATGTTGCTACTTCTCAAGAATCACAGTTCAACAAATGTATACCACCACAAGAAGAAAGGAAGAACAAGTGTGGATTTTTCAACCTTGGGAGACCTGAATAAAAGCACAATTATATTTCAATAAAGAGAAACAACTGAACACCTTTCATCTGCTAGAAGCATTAAGTCTCATAAAAATGGGTATTGACCAATTTTTCTTTTCTTTTTATTTCCAAAAAGAACCACGTATGACTAGTTATATCACACAACATATCACAGTAAGCTAAATCTGTTGTATGCTACGAATTCACAGGCAGCACTAAGCCTCAAATGGACAACCCAATAAGAGAAAAGCATCATGTGACTTAACATCATAAAAATTTTATGATCATCACAAGCACCTTCGATTTCAAAGAGTAGAAAGTGTTCATGAAGTTTTAAACGCATAACAAAAAACATCAGTAGAACAATAAAATCATATGTGATGCAGCAAGCCATCATTTAAAACCGACAAAGGCCTACCATGTCCAATTAAATTACAAAACCTCGCCTTGTTGCTTAAGACATCAACTTACATGAAATTCATCAAGGGTGTCAAAGAACATCTCTGCTAACTAGGAATTAATCTTACATAATCAACGAACTTCTCCGCCATACACACTTATAGCATACCGACTAATATACCAACATAATACCACTTATAGCATACCGACTAAAATATCAACATAACACCACTTATAGCATACTGACTAAAATACCAACATAATACCACTTATAGCATACCAACTTAATACCCAAATACAGTTTTTTAGGTACTGTTTGTGTTATTCTCCACTCAATCACGTAATTAACATGATAAAGATTTGCATTAAAGAATTACGCCAAGGTTAAAGTCCAATTCTAATTAATATATCAGCACAATTAGTACTTCAGAAACTGTAAATAAGTTTTGTTTGTATCTTAAATAGACAAAGAAATTGAAAGTGAAACAAATCACAATCCAGGAGAAATTATTACATAGTCCAAGATTATTACCTGTCCATGGTCCCAACCAATTTCCAAATAATAGTTAGCCAAAATTTTCCATTTGAAGGTGCCTCTCACATGTAAATTGGTCAAGATCGTAGTGATCTAGGACCATGTAATAAATTCTCACAGTCAAGAGGGGTAAAAAATTAGAAATTACCTTCAAGCCTGCTAACAGAATCTAAATGCCTTCCAAATCCACCTGTTAAAAAAAAAAACACGGTACAATAAATTGCATAGGCAAAAAACAAGCCAAAAGCACATCTCAGGAACAAAACGAAAAAAGTAGAACAAACCTGAGCCCCTGTAAAAATAGCCAATGAGAAACAAACCTCCCTGTAGAATTGCCAAAACAAAATCAATCAGAAAAAAAAAATCACCGAAAGTTAAAGCCCCTCATTAAATCAATTAAATTTCAAAAAAAAAAAAAAAATCACCACAACTACGACTGCAATTGACAAAACCGGCGGCGACCTAGATTTTGAAGAGGAGAACAATCCACTGCCACTGTCACCGAACCTTCTAGAAGGATTCCCCGGTCTCCGCGACATTACTTATCTTTTATCGAATCTTCTTGCAGCACAAACGTGTCGTTTCAGTTACACTAATCAGCAACACAGGAATCCGAAAAACGTGAATGAAAAACTGTTTCACCACAATGCGGATGGAAAAACACCACGAAAACTACGCAGCTATGTCAATGCACTGAAAACGCGTAGGAACAAAAAATCACAAATTACCGATAAACTAAACAATCCTACAGAAGTTGCATTCGGCAAACGCTAGATCTGAGTTACGCACAATACAAATAGAAAGAAGAGAGAGAATCAGAAGAAAAAAAAAAACAGAGTACGGTTATTTTTGGTTCTCGTGGCAATGGCAATGTTGGTGGAAAAAAAGAGTGCAGAGTATGTTGGAGTGTCGGTTGGTGGAATCGAACGGTGTTGAACGGGTGATTGGTAATGGGTCAGGCCTTATTGGATATGGCCCAATAAGTGAAAGTACCAGATGATTGGGGCCACGTCATAGTTCCGATTCGGCTTAATAATAACTGAACCGGTTTAACGAACCGGACCGAATTAGGTGGTTTTGATGAACAGAAACTGGAGGGGAGGAGGAGAAATAGATGGCAATCGCTGTTGAGAGAGAGGAAAAGAGGCTCGAAGTTTGGATTGTGAAGCGATTGTTGATTGGAATCGTTGAATTGTGATATTATTGAGTTTGATTCAGAAATGAACGAAGACGAAAGCCATCGGAACGAAAAGGAAGCGCATGATATCAAGCTTTGGGGAGTTTTCCTCTTCGGATTAGTCGGCGCCGCCGTCACTGCCTTCTCCGTTAGTTCTCTGCATTCGGTTTTGTTTTTTTTCCTTTTCAAATTATTCTTCGAACCGTATGCATGTTATTAGTTCTCTTTTAGAAAAACTTGCATGCAGTTCCTTAAGTGCTTTTAGCGCTGTTTTCTTACGAATATTATATTTGATCAGGTTGTTAAGTGGTTCTGTTACTCTAGTTTGTTAAGTGGTTCTGTTACTCTTTTCTGTTACGTGGTTCTGTTACTATTACGTGATTTTGTTACTCTTTTCTATTATGTGTTTATGTTACTCTTTTCTGTTATGTGTTTCTGTTACTCTTTTCTGTTTCCTTTTTTGCTTTTTCACAGAGCTATATATTTTGCTCTTGTACTGTTTTAACACAGAGAGAAAGAGATAATTCAATAATATGAGATTTATATATACTAAGATGATGGTATCAGAAGTTTTCTTTCTTTAATTGCTTTTCCATGGCTTCCTATTCCTATTTGAATTTTCATACCAATCCAGTTCTCGTTTCTTCTCTTTTTGATGGCAAAAATTATCATGTTGCTATGAAACTTACCCTGAAATCTAAGAACAAGTTAAAATGGAAGCTTGCCTGAACAGTCGGTAACTGCCCCCTTCATGAAACCTGGGATTGGTGTAACACATGGTTCTCTTGGCTTCAACGTTCTGTATATGATTCCATTCTCCAATCTATTATTTGGATCGATTATGGACCATTTGGGAAGAAATCGATACTTTTTGGCCCCCTTTGCTTGCAACCTTTTGCTTGCAAATGTTCTGTTTCCTTGTTTTGGTAGTGCGCTTGATTCTGCTCTAAAATATAAGTAACAAGATTAGGTGATGCCTTTTCTTAAGGGTTTGAATGATTAATATGTCTCCGGCCTTTTTTTAAGGGTTTGAATGATCAATATGTCTCTGTCAGATCTCACATTATGCTTATGGATCCTTTTCCTCCGCTTACTAAAGTTTTTAATCTGGTCATCCAACAAAACGCCAGTTTATTTCTGTTCATGATCCTACTAATGTTTTTATTGAATCTAGAGTTGGAGACAGAAGAAGTGGCCACAGAATTAGCGAGGAACAGACTTGGATTGCTGTAAAATTTATTTCTGTTCATGATCCTACCGATGTTTTTATTGAATCTAGAGTTGGAGATAGAAGAAGTGGCCACAAAATTAGCGAGTAACAGACTTGGATTGCTGTAAAAGGGTCAGAATGTCTTGATACTACTCTGCAGTAAAATTCACCACTAAACTTGAAACTTCTTGAGGTGGCAAGATATTGGATGAAGATGGATCTGTGGAGAGTATTAGTCATGCGTGCACCTTTAGAGAGATACCCTGGGGGGATACCATGTTTGAAATAGCAAGTATCGATGGTGTGATTAGGTCGGTCACAGTATGTGCAGAATTTGTTGCCTGATTGACCGCGTCCACCAGAAAACTACTGCGGCCTCGAGAAGTAAAACCTCTGTGACGGTCACCATTGAAAACTCCTGAAGTAAAATTGCGATTAGATTTCGGTCGTGAATGAGGATTGATATCAACAGCTAAAGCTTGAGATTCAATAAAAACATTAGTAGATCATGAATAGAAATAAACTGGTATTCTTGTTGAATGACCAGATTAAAAACCTTAATAAGCGGAGAAAGAGGATCCATAAGCATGATGTGAGATCTGACGGAGGCATATTGATCATTCAAACCCTTAAGAAAACGAATCACCTGATCTTGTTGTTTATATTTTAGGGTAGAATCAAGCGCACCGCAAGAATAGGGTAGGGAACAGATAGTATAAAATTCAGTAATAGAAGAGGCATCTTGGGTTAATTTGTATAAATCTTCTTGTGATGTAGCAACACGAAAAGAAATCACCCTGATGAAATAGATCTTGCCATATAGTAGCAACGGAATCGATCCAGATAATGAACTGGAAAAAATGGAATCATGTACCGAACGTCGATCTAGATAATGGATTGGAAAATGGAATCATGTACCAAACTTTGAAGCCAAGAGAGAACCATCGTGTTTCATAGCACGAGCCCAAACATGATAATTTTTGCCATCAAGCAAAGAAGAACCGAGAACTAGGACAGGATTTTCATTAGAAGGAAGGAAGTAAGAATTGGTATGAAAATCCAAATAAGAATCGGAAGCCATGGGAGAGCAATTAAAGAAAGAAAACTTCTGATACCATCTTAGTAACATAACCACCTAACAGAAAAGAGTAACAGAACCACATAACAAAATAGATAACATTCCACGGATGAAAGATAATATTCGTGAAATTGCACTTAGATGATATATAATATATGATATTTCTGTACAAAATTTTGTTACACAGGTTAGGTGAAACTTTGATTCCAATATATTTTTCTTAATTTTTTTTTACGTCAGAATAATGATCTTAGGGTTTGCCTGTTCGTTGTTATTCTCACACAAACCATGTGTTTGGAGAAATTATTACATGGTCCGGTGTACCGCTGTCTATCATTCCAATCAATCTTTAACTGATTATAATTTGAATTTTCAACTTATGAAAAAGAGTTAATAAAACTTGATTGCGTGTTACATGGAAATTGGTTGGAACCATGACGATCCTCCTTTGTGAAATTTTACTTTGTTTTCATAATGGTTGTCTATGGCATCATGCGAAGATGTGTTCGAACGAGTCATCATTTACCAGAGTTTTAGGTACTATGCTTTGAATGTAAAGTTTTTCTTTTTCTTTTTTGGGTGGCAATTTTTTTTTTTTTTGTGATGTTAATATTTCAGGAACATATAATTTTCCTGTTTTAAGTTTTTTTAGGTACTATGCTTTGAATGTAAAGTTCTTTTTTTTCTTTTTTTCTTTTTTGAATTTTTGTATTTGAAGTACAAGATAGAAATGCACCGGAGTCGTAGGGAAACTGATGTTGCATGCTCCTGTTGAACCCTTTGTAGCTGTCCAGGTCGCAGTCAAAAGCAGGGAGTGGTGGTTCTTTTCGATCATCGTTTCAAGAAGAAGCATGGAAGAGGTACAATAAAAGATTGCAAGAGGAATATAAGGAGGAGATGGAGAGGGTGGTGAGTTTCTAGTAGACTTTAATTTCTATTTATTGTCATTATAAAAATCTTAAATCGTGTTACTAATGAGTTTGAAAATAGTTAGACTAAAAATCAATAAATTTAGCATACATGACAATTTGTGATTGGCTGTGTCGCTGCATAGATTATCTATTCTTTCTAGTTTCAAATACTTTTGTTCTAGTTTATTATTATTTTTTAGTTGAACATCATCTTTAAAAGAAAAAAAAGATGGGATGTGATGTGATCCTTCTTATTCGCGATCCTGAGTTGCAGTACTTTGTGATGAAAGCAATTTCACTGCAGTGTGTATCTCTTAGTTGATTGATTATATAGTAAGTCACAAAGAAAATGTTTGTTTTTTTCTTTGCTGGCTTAGATATTTAATTGTTAGGTTGATGCTAGGCAATGTGTCTTGAAACTAGGTTGCATCTTGCAGGAACGAATAAAGCGTATGCAAACTGTGTTTAATAGAGAAAGGGAAAAGCGAAGAAGAAGCTACGAGAGCTGGATGGGGAATGGTGGTGGTGCACACCATCAACATTTTCAAAGAGATGATTGGTACTGGAAGGCGGAAGAATCCTTCAGAGAGCAGTGGGCCAATTATCAACACACTCCAAGAGAGAGCAGAAACTATTCATTATCACATCACTACTCAGTTTTGGGTCTTGACAGGTACTTACAGAAATAGTGTTACTTTATTCAGTGAGACTTAATGCAACTGTGTCTTGGTGATCATTTAATCATGTGTTTGAAATTGAATATTCTCTTTACATATGCAATAGTTGTGCACGATATCCTTCCCTTGTACACTCTCATTGCAAGAGCCTTTGGCACTGGGATACTATAGTTCTGAAATTCAATGCCTTGTATGAGCAGGAGATAGATATATCAGAATGTCATAGCTACTGGATTGATTGAATAGAAAAATAGAGCCAAGATCCTTACAACCAGTAGGTATTCTGAAATTCTAGGATATTAAAAAATAAAAAACAACAGTAAATACAATATCAGAGGAAAACCACGAGAATTCCAGTCTTAGGAACAGCCACCTCACATCCTTAGGAATGGCAAACCCCACTGAAACCACCCTTTGCTCGCCCTTACTGCCACGATGCAGTTTATCACATGACACCCATTCTGTTAGGATTTCCTACTTTTGGTCTCTCTTCCAGCTCAACTTCCTCGTCATTCGACTCATTTTTCTGCCCTGGATCCTAACTAACCACCCTTTCGGCTTTGTTTATCACCCAAGCTCCTTTTTGTTTCTTTCTACTCTAAACCAAGATATAGAATGTCATACTAAATAATGTAGAATATATTCCATATTTCAGCCATTAATTGATATTCACAATGATTAAACTTTGATCTTATTTAAATAATCAACAGACCATGTTGTTGCACTTTTTTGTTAAAACTATTCAAAGCTTTATGTAAGATCATAGTTGTTACAATAACCCAGCGCTTGTTTGCTCTTAGTTTATCAAAATTAAATTCTATATTTAATACTCTATATTTTAATCGCATAATTCTTAAGGTAATATTCTTTCATGTTTTATTTGAAAATCACCAACGCATATAGTGTTAAGCGTTGAAACATAACCTTTATAGTATCAGGTACTGGATTGTGTAAGGTGTGATTTGATAGAAAATACTGAGCTTACTTATATGAATGAGTGAGCACAAGATAGCACAGTTCATATTGTTAAAATATGAGAATCATGTTGACAGGAAGATAAGGTCTATAAATAGAATATTTTAAGATATTATATGATACGCCCGGACGGTCAGTCACATATGTCATATGGAGCAGGATGTGATTATGACCCAACAAAAAAGGATGTCATTTTGGTATCTATTGATAGCTTATTGAACACTATTTGTGAATGGAAACCATGAATGAATCATGTACTATCTACATAATAAGTTAGCAATAACGTGCTGTTTTGTATTCATATAGCCCTTAAAGGTTCCTTTTATGAATCAGGTTTAGAACAACGCCATATACAGATGCTGAGATTAAGGTAACTTTTGATTTTATTATTATTGTTATTATTATTTCTTTTCATATTACTGTATGCTTTGTAAACCGTATACATCACATCTGTATTGATAAAGAGATTGATTTATGAATTATGGTGATAATCTTGTATCTATTTTTCTTATTTGCCTTGGATATGTAAGAAAGGGCTAAAATTGACTCTGGTTGATATACTTGATGGGTGGTAGGTTTTACACCCTTCTTATTTATTAAAACAGCTAGTTTTGTTGGATATTAGTGAAACCGTGTATTGCTTGAGCTCAAGTAAAATTATAAGGCTTTCATGATTTTCATTTACATTTATTTTATCAAGCATTTTGATTGGTCTCCCCATACAGTTTGTAATATATTTTTGTTCAAATGATGGTTATTGATCTAGCAAAACTCTATGATAAGGCGCCAAAATTCCTATCGAATATCGGAGTTTCTATCACACATATTCAAACTATAAATTATATGTATGATTGGCCATTAGCTAACAACTAAACTATAAACTCTAGTATAACACTTTCTATAACATCTCATTTGCAGCAAGGATGTACTTAGCGTTCATACCTTTTTACCTTGGTTTTGGACATCTTTTGTGTAAATTGCTTATTTTGTTAAATATTTTGCTTTATAATGTTTATCTTATCTCTTTCCTAGACAGCGTTTAGAACCAAGGCAATGCAGTATCATCCTGACCAGAACCAAGATAATAGAGGTATGCCTTTACTAGTCATTATCAAGATCTTGTTAACTCCATCCATAGCATTATTGATTCTTGGATGTAAAAATGTGATAGAGGCTTCCGAGGCCAAGTTTAAAGAAGTAGTTTGTTCATATGAGGCCATACAAAAGGAAAGGAAGAACCATAATCTATAATTGCCCAACCCTGCACAGCAATCCAGGAACCTTGAAGCAGATGAGGTATTCAAATTAATCACCAAAGGTTCTCTTAAACATTCCTAAAATAGAATTATCATCCAGCTAAAATATGATTCTACTGCTTGTAATTTTTGGGTGATTATCACATCTTAAATTAATAATGATGGTGTTAATGTGTTGTATTATATAGCAGTTGTACTTGAATGCACTGATTTTTTGTTTTTTGTTTTTTCTATGAAATTGATTAACCAGGGATATTTTTAATTAGTAAGCATTGCAATCAGACGTCAATGGCCTCTTTAAAGTCTTTTAAGTTATTTTTACCTAATTAATTCATTTGCTGAACACTGTTAGGACTTCTCGGAAAAATTATTTTTACACAACTCGGCAAATTTTTTATTAATATATAGATAGAGACTTGTTATACTAAACATTTCTAATCGTGTAACAACCCAAAAATATATGCATGCTATAGATGTATAGTTAAAATGCATACAATCATTCAAAATATAAATTCCTCTCCATTGGAAAATATACACATGCATATATATATATATATATATATATATATATATATATATATATTACCACCTCAAAAGTAAAACAAAATAAAAATCTATCCTATTTTAGGCTCTAGATCTACTCTTGTTGGAGCCTATTACCTGTATCATTTACACATTTACACCATTTATACATCAAAGTGAGATACAAAATACACTAAGTAAGCTAGTAATTCAAGCATACAAAATTCAATATAAAACAAAACAATTCAAGTCCATGTTTTCATATATCACATCAAATTATATTACATAATTTACATCAAATCACATATACACTCACGTGTGATTAAGATAAATGACTTATCAAAATACAATTTTTTTCATATAACAAGAAACTTTTTTTAACTCACTATCTTATTCTTTCATCTACGTGATTTTAGTGATATGTACCATTAGGATATTTCTTCGAGTCTCAAATCAATATATATACACATTACACCAAATATAAGAGAATATCCCTTGGTAATTCTCATATCATAAACAACATTTTTCAAGGCACAAAATAACATTCAAACATACCTTATTTCATATTCATAACATGTATTCTAACATCCTAGATCATATACATACCATTTCTCATATTTATAAACAAAATGCATTTTTTTCTAATTTGACTTATACTTATTCTTTTGATCATGACTTTCTATATAGATATCTTTTTAGAATAATTCTTAATTTATTAGATTCCTCATTTTCGAAGTTTCATATGGAACACTTAATTTGGAGTGCAAAGCTTCTTTTTTTTTTAAACGGCTAAACGAATTTGAAAGTTCTGAGTAACTTTTAATTCCACTGAGCAAAATTTGAATGACTAAATGGAATATTTGGACATTTCCAGTATTCGTCTATGTCAAAGTTCCGTTAAGCCAAATAGCATTTTGTTGAGCGAAATTTTCACAAAATTAAGTCTTCAACATTGCCTCAAGTATGCCCGACGAATTTAAAAAACATTGAGTGAGATTTTAGCGCTTCTAATACTACCTTAAATATGTTGAGTGAAATTAAATCCGATAGGCAGATTTGTAAAAGTACCATACTACATAATTTGTCCAATACAATGTTTTCATCGTTCCAAGTCAAATTAAATCTAAAACTTTTGTCCAAATTATAAATTAATTCCTCAAATCCAATATAAGGACAATACATTCATATATAAGGTTATCATTTTCAATCTCACATAAATCAATTAGACATTCACATTTAATATTCAATTTTAATTATCACAAATTAACACACATACAACTACACAATCCTGCAAAAATCCTTTGAATTTGAGGGGGGGAAAAATCTTACTCTATTTAAAATTTTGATCGGCAAAAATGATCTCTTTTATTTCAGGAGCACTAAAATGTGCTTGGATCTAGAAAAAGAGGAGAAATGGGGTTTAGGGTTTGAATTTCAAAGAAAGAAATTGGGATTGAATTTCAAAGAAAGAAATTGGGATTAAATTTCATCTATCTCACTCTTCTGTAATCTGGATAAATATAAACATATAACATCTGAATTTACTAATATTGATGCAACATATAATAATCATTTATACTTATTCTTCACGTATAAAATTCATAAGATCGGTTCCCTGGATATCGATTCCTCACATATCCAACAAACTGTCCAATATTCTTTTCAAGGGTTAAAAACAATTGATATACTAAAATTTATTCCTAGCATCACAATACATTAAGTATTTTTGTTTAGATCAAATTTTTAGAAATATTTTCCAGTTACGTCTAAAAATCACATTCACGAATCTATTGATCAGATAGAATCAAACATTAAGAGCAAAACAAAAATGTCAATATTGAATAGAAATAGAAAAGTTATATATAGATACCACCAGATTTCATCCAGAGTTCGAATCGATTACATTCAATCCCAAAAGGAAAGATTAGTCACTCTTTGTAGTCATTGACATTCTAAGAGAAGAAAAAAAACCCTAAATCTAAAACTGGAAAAGAACTTTCCCTAATATTGTCAAAAGCGGCACATCCTACTTTCTCGTCTAAACCACAAAGTATATATACTGCTTGAGTTCTCGCTTAAGCCATAATAACTTTCAAATTGATTGCTCTTTGGATGAATCTCGCTCAAGCGAGATAATTTTCGCTTGAGCGAGAATGACTTTCAAATTGATCACTCTCTGGACGAATCTCGCTTAAGCGATACCATTCTAGTTTGAACGAATTACGATATGATTTCATGTTTTTTTCCTCTGTTTCTTCCTTTTTTCTTCTTCTTTTAAGCCCTTTTCTCCTTCTCTCTTAATTTACCTGAAACATATACAAAATGAGGATTAAATAATTTTATTTTTAATTAAAACTCATAAACATATGATTATATTTCATCATTCTTAAATTAGGGGTGTTCAAAATGCAAGGAAATTATGTCTAAAGATTTTGATGATGATACAAAAACAAAGGACTTCACGATTAGAAGACTCATACACATTTGTAATCGTTTGTAATAATTTTGTTTAGTCAACTTGAGTCTATAAAATTAGAGTTCAAAATAGTCAGCACTTAGTTTGTCCACAAAAGTTTCATTTTTTATCAAAATCGCTCAGTGATAATCGATTATCACTCAGGATAATCGATTATCACTCAGGATAATCGATTATCACTCAGGATAATCGATTATCACTCAGGATAATCGATTATCACTCAGGATAATCGATTATCCTGGTAACTCTTGGTTTTCTGAAATTGATTCTGGAATAATCAATTATCACTCATGATAATCGATTATTCTGGACAACCTTGGTTTTCTGATAAAAGCTTATGTGATAATCGATTATCACTGATAATCAATTATCTAAGGCAGTTATGAATTTGAAATTCGAATTTTAACTTAATTTTTGAAAACTTTATTTAAAGGAACTCTCATGCTCTTAAAATAAAACAACCTTTTTGATACTTAGAAAGTTAAGAGTTGTGTTTACTAAGAGAACTTTGAGTAGTAAGCAAAAAGGGGCTTTGAAAACCTAGTGTAGGCAAAAGGCGATAAGAATCACTGAGTGGGATTCTCAGTGGATTGAGTGTTGTGATATCTCTAGGAAAGTTGTCTTCATCCTTTGTGGCTTCTGAGGTAATGATTTCTGAATTATAACACTACACCCTGCTTCAAGCTTCACTGTTTCTTCAAAAAATCCTCTTTTCTTTGTTAAGAGCTCTTTCATGAATTTTGCATAAGTTGGCATAAGTTCCATAGCCTCCACAAATAGAATATTAATCTGCAGTCGTGTGAAAATATCCATGAAAGATTATGAGGGTAAGGTAGGTTCTTCAATTGTGGTACCTATTTCTCACCTTTCTCTCTCTTTTTCTCTTCATTTTTTTTTTCATCTTTTTCTTCTCTTTTATTCACATGCTCACTTTTATTTTGCTCTTCCTCTCTCTCACACTCATTTTTTCTTCTTCATTTTCTTTTTTCTCCGAGACTTCTGCCTCCACAACTAGGTTCTCTCCAATCCCTCGTCCTACAATTTTACCACTCCTGGTAGTAATTGATTTACAATGCTCCTTGGGATTAGTCTTTGTGTTGGCTGAAAAATGGCCTGTCTGTTGATCTGATAACTATTTAGCCAACTGTCCAACTTGTATTTTTCTGATTGGTCATAGAAACTTACATAAATTGTTCTAGAGTATTTTCCAAGTTGGTTAATCTTTCATGTACAGATGAATATTGTTGTTGTTCTTGGTAAGGAGGTTGTCTATTTGAGGAACCAATATCTTATTTCCATCCAAAATTCTGATTTTGATTATTTCTCCACCCTTGTGAAAAATTATTATTGTTGGAGAAATTACCTATTCTTACTTGATTATTCACATATTGAACTTCTCTTTTTGGTGGACTATTCTAAAAAGAACAATGACCATTGGGATGATCACCTCCACAAAAGTCACATCTCATGGTAATTTAGACATTTGTACTGCTTGTTGTTGGTGTTGACTATTCTAAAAAGAACAATGACTGTTGTTGTTGACTAGGAGAATATTGTACTGCTTGCAACTACTCAGGTAATTTAGACATTTGTTTAGTTAATGCTTCTATCTGCTGAGTTATAATTTTATTTTGAGCTAAGATTGAATCTGTTGTACTGAGATTAAGCATTCCCTTCCGTTGCACAATTTGTCTATTATGTTGAGCTTGATGGTCTGTTGATGTTAGTGCCTCAATGATTCTTGTTGCTTGCACTGCATCCACTGACATCATCGTTCCTCCTGCTGTTGCGTCTAATATCATCTTGGTAGCAGGCCTCAGACCATTGCAGAAAATATTTAGTTGAGCAATATTTTCAAACCCATGATTTGAGCATCTCCTTAGTAAAGAATTAAATCGTTCCCAAGCTTCACAGAATGACTCATCTGGTCCTTGCCTGAAAGTAGAAATTTCAGCTTTCACCTTATTGTAAGGAGAAGGTGGGAATAATCTATTCATGAATTTCTCTTCTACATCACTCCAATTGTTCAGACTTTGATTTGGATGTGACTTAAACCATTTCTTTGCTTTTCCTATCAATGAGAAAGGAAACAAACGCAGATATACATGGTTAAGATCTCTTTTTACAAAACCCATGGTGCCTATCAGTTCATAGAATGTGGAAAGATGATTATATGAATCTTCATTATCCAATCCAGTGAATTGATGAAAACTGATTAAGCTAAGGAAAGTTGGCTTCATCTGCAATGTTTTGGTGGTAGGTGGTATTGCTATACTAGAAAAGTATCTTGGTCCTTGTTGCATAGCATAGTCTCCAAGTGTTTTCCTGGGTGGGGCTCATCCTTCTTTCTCCATATTTTTTGTTTCCTGATGTGTGATGGAAGTACTGGAAGATTGTTTCTTTGCTTTTCCTTGCTTCTTCTTGTTTTTTCCTCTATTCCTACGAGCTGTCTTTTCTATCTCCGGGTCAAATGCTAATTGATCTTTATAAACCTGACCTCGTAATAACATAAAACAAAACAGTTCCAGCAAGGATTAGTACAAAAGAGACAACTAATTAAATTATCTAATTAAAAATATATATTCACAAAGCTGGATGAGACAACCACGAATTTCAAAAGAATATCGTAAATCAACAACGACGCCAAAAATACTTGTTGGTGTCTTGGCAAATGTATCAATAGTCAACTGTAGTATAATAATTTTTGTTTAGTGAAAGTGTCGATTCTATGATGAATGGATTCAATTAAAATTCATAGTTTATCTCAAACAGCATATATACAAAGATATCCATTTGATTCATGATTGATAATAATGATTTATACTAAATTTGCATGAAAAGAATATAATGGCAGTAGATTGATTAGAAAAGATTCAAAGAAAGAAATTAGGATTGAATTTCATTTATCTCACTCTTTTGTAATCTGGATGAATATAAACATATAACATCTGAATTTACCAATATTGATACAACACACAATAACCATTTATATTGATTCCTCACATATAAAATGTATAAGACCGGTTCTCTAGATATCGATTCCTCACATATGCAACAAACTGTCCACATTCTTTTTAAGTGTTAAAAGCAATTGATATACTGAAATTTATTCTTAGCATCACAATACATCAAGTATTTTTGTTTAGATCAGATTTTCAGAAATACTTTCCAGTCACATATTTTCAGAAATACTTTCTAGTTACGTCTAAAAATCACATTTACGAATCTATTGATTAGATATAATCAAGTATTAAGAGCAAAACTAAAATTTCAATATTAAATAGAAACAGAAAAGCTATATATAGATATTACCAGATTTCATCCGAGTTCGAATCGATTACATTCAATCCTAAAAGAAAATATTAGTCACTCTTTGTAGCCATTGACATCCTAAAAGAAGAAGAAAAACCCTAAAGTTAAAATCGGAGAAGAACTTTTCCTAATATTGTCAAAAGCGGCACATCCTACTTTTTCGTCTAAACCACAAAGTATATATATTGTGCGAGTTCTCGCTTAAGCTAAATTATTTTTGTTTAAACGAGAATGACTTTTAAATTGATTGCTCTCTAGACGAATCTCGCTTAAGCTAGATAATTTCCGCTTGAGCAAGAATGACTTTCAAATTGATCACTCTTTGGACGAATCTCACTTAGGCAATATCATTCTAGCTTGAGCGAGTTGTAGTAGGATTTCATATCTTTTTTCTCTGTTTCTTCTGTTCTTCTTCTTCTTCTTTTAAGTCATTTTCTCCTTCTCTCTTAATTTACCTGAATCATATATAAAATGAGGATTTTCTTTTTAATTAAAACTCAGAAAAATATGATTATATTTCATCATTGATTCCTTAATACAACGATGGTAGAAGGGTCCAAATATATTTATAACAAGTAAAAAGAAGAAAAAGCATTCTGTGTATTTTCTGGTAATTTTTTTCTTTGGTTCCCTTTTTCAAAGAGTTGGAAATTATATCGATTATAGCAACGCACTTACCTTTCCTCTTCTCATGATTAAATACTGATAGTAAGGCATCATTGACTTGATATGATTGCAATATTTAATGTTTTTTCCTTTTGTCTCTTATAAAATTTACTCCTTTGTAAATTTTGGATTAAGTAAACTAGATTGTATAATCTTTATTCTGAATTAACATTCTGTAATGAAAACGGGTATAGACTGATTTTTATAAGATTCGTGAAGAAAAAATTATAGCCTAACCGGAAACGCATGCCTATTGTCTCAAGCCCTAAGTGTATTACATTAAAATTTATTATTTATCATAACATTGACACCTTTAAAGGCTAATGTCCATGGCAGTTGTGCTTTGTTCCATTTTATCCTTCATTCAATGGAGGATGCAGCATTGCTACTGTTTTAATAATTAATGCACTTATCAGTTTTAGGTAGTGTATCCTACCAATTTTTTAACTTGGCTTATTAATATGAGAAGTTGAATTAATCCAATTAAAAAAACACACTTTAAAATGAAACCCTTTTTTTAATGTCGTCAAATATAAGCAATAGAACTTTGGTAGAAACTCGAGAAACTTTTACTTACAACGATCATCGTAGTCTGTAAGAATTTTGAGACTTTAATATAACGGGTTTTTCATTTACTTAAAAATGGTGTATCACATGATCCATGCACAAATCAATCTATGACTGCAAAAAAGCTGGTACGATGGAAAATCAAATCAAGTTTTGTCAGTTATACTATTGTAAGAGTAGGGTTGGACACAAAAAAAAAAGTTACTTTGAGTTTATAACTTTTTTTATTTTAATAATCACCAAATTTCTTGATAACTATTTTTTGTTAGGAAATTTGGATAACCACTTTTAATGTGATCTTCTATCTCAATCACATTTTTCAATCATAGGACGAAAATATAAGACTTTGCTTAAAGAGATAGTCCAATATCACCCCGATTATAATGTTATATTTAGTTGTATGGAAAGAAATAAAATGAATGAAAATAAAGAAAGAAAAACAGGTTAAAAAAATAAAATATGTAAGAAATAAAGTTTAATTTTGAATTGTTTGATTGAGAAAGAAGAGGTGAGAATTTGAATGAAAATAAAATTTAAGTTATTTAAGATGATAGAAATTAATAATTATTAAAAATACAGTTATACCTTTGTTTTGGCAGTGAGAACGGCAAAGTGTATCATGTTTAATCAATTAAATCCACGCATCAACTTAGTAAATTATAAAATGGAAATAATTTATTAATGAAAAAGTTTGGTTCAACTGGATTTTTCATTTAATCGATTCAAAATTTATCAAATTGATTACATATTTCTAACAATTGTTGACTGTGTGAGCCCCGTAATCTATTATTCGTTTGCAGTAATTGATTAATAGATTTATTACAAATGTGGAATTAATATTTTGATGTAAAATAAATTTGAGTGTAAATAAAAATTATAAAATATATGTTGCTTAATTTTTATACATTTTAAAGTAAATTTATGTATGATATAAGATAAATTTGTGACAATAATAGGTTTATTACATTAGTTTTGAATTTTAATTTTTTTAGAAAACTTAAATATATTTATTTAATTTTTTTAATATTGATATTTAAATAAAGTAATTTAAATATATTAACTTTTATTTTTTTATTTAATAAAATATTTTAATTATATAAAAGTGTGCCAACAAATATTAACATGATAATGTTCAATTTAAATCGTAGTGATGGTATAAAAACGCTTAAATATTATGACAATTTCAATACCGACTTCAATTTATTTGTTTGTATGTATTAAACTCAGCTGTTGGTTTTGAACTTTTGCCAGGAAATGACGGCGCATATCAGGCATCAAAGCCTTAAGTGATTGTCATGTAACAAGTTTCCGTGTGGTTCTGGATTTTTATATCATTATTAATTTTATACTTGACTTCTGATAATTTTTTTCTACTTTTTATTTTACATTTATGATTATATGGCAATCCATCATCATATGATGAGAAAAACAAATAAGTTATTAAAAAATCGTAATTTTTTTTCTAACTAAATATAATAGTAATAATAATACGAGAATGAAGAGATTATAATTAAACTGATTTGGTGGTAATTTAGTTTGAGAGCAAAGAAGGATTTAATTTCTGAGAGAGAGAGAGAGAGAGAGAGAGAGATGATACATGGAATTAACAGAGTATGAGTTACAGACTACAAAGAATACACGCTAAAGAAGCCAAAGCTAACTGATTCATCTTGAGAGCACCTTGATTTTCTTAAATGTATTAAAAATTACTAACTATTGTGTAACCGGGGGAGTTCTGTAAAAAGCTGGAACAGTGGCAGGGAAAAACATCTGACGAATCCCTTCAGCCTTAATTATCGGGAAGATGATTGCAGAAGCACCCTAACAAAACAAAATTGTGGTTGATATTTTTTTCAGACGCTAAAACTGAACTAAAAATAAAGACATTCTGTTTATTAGTTAAAATTTATTGAAAATTCCAAATTCGGCTGTAGAATTCACCCACAATTTTGTAATTTTCCTTAAATTTGAATTAATAAAAGATAATGTGTTAAAGGGTGTATAAGTAAGCATTTAATACTCACAGAGATTAGTCGGGCCCCAATCCATATTCTCTTTGGTGAAGGAAATGGTAACAATAAACGGCCAACACCATAGATTGCAACAGCAAAGAAATGGAGAACCAAACTCAAGGGACGAGGGTTTAATCCAGAAAGTAAAGAAACTGGTCCTTCGGAGAATAGGCCTCCAAGGCTTAGATAATCAAAGCACGCTTGGCGCATTTCCTTCCTTGCCTGATCAGGGGATGCACAAAAAACCTTGTAAAGGGCACCTGCTAATGTATTTATGGTGGATGCCACAGGCTGCAAATTAAAGAGTAAACATTAGATTTATAATAGAAGCTTTGATGGGTTTGGTGAGGTTCTGCTCCATCGTAAGTTTGAAGAAGTTGGATAATAGGAAAAGGGGTAAAGCTAACATTACCTTACGCAAGGTATAAAAGGATTCTAGGTATTTGCAGAGTGTGGGTGCATCATTCAGGTCAGGCAAGGGCCTTAGAAGATTTCTTAGCACCACAATATCAGATAATGCTACAGTCATTCCGCCTCCGGTTAGTGGATGCCGCATGTTGAATGCATCTCCCATCAGAAGCGCTCCAGGTGTAGGATGAGGATCTGCGGGCATGCTTCTGTTTGGCATTGTCCTTATGTTGCCCTTGTCCACAGCAGCTATGAAGGCATCATGAAGTTCAGGGGGAATCTGCAATAATTTGTCACTTCATCGTCAAACAGACCAATACATCTGGATGTGAACAAGATTTTACACCGAATGAAAGTTTAATCACATGCAAAGATTAAAACATGATTTATAGAACTCAGACCATAAATGGGGTACCTGTGGAGCTACTGTTGTCTTCAAATACTTTTCCATTTCACCGTTTGAAATAGAAGGAACCTTCTGACCAGGTACATCGACAAGACAGCGAATCTCTGTACTACTTATACGATAGAATAGAATTGGTGAAGGGTCTCCCAGTATAACATGGCCATGATTTGCACATGGAAGCTCACAGTTCTCTAAAATTAAACCAACAAAACATGAGGGAACATCCACCTGCAAATACAGAATTATAAAATTATTAATAATTCAGAGTTATACGTATTTCTTCTTACGAGCACGATGAAGAAAACCTTGGTAGGAAAAAAAAGTCTGAATAATGTAAACCTAAAAATAACTCTGAATAAATTAATATTATATAGTAAGGATGTGTTTTTGGTCTGATTATTGGTTAGTTTATAAGACGTTGAGGGATTTAATATCACAGAATTAAGCCGAAAGGCATTCTCACCTTGGGATTACAAAGAGAACGGCGTAAGTTTGAGAAGCAGCCATCACAAACAATGGTAAGAGGTGCAAATGTTGTCAATTCCTGACCATCTTTGTTCTTATATTGCACACCTTTAATTGTCCCCTTCTCTTCAACTAGGGAAGTGACTGTTCCTTGCTCCAATCGCACACTGCAGAATATTTAAAAAGAAAACTACCATATAAATATAACTTAACAAGTAAATATCTCTACCTCAATTGAATAACGAAAATCACATTTTGATTCATATATCATTCCTGAATTCTGATAGCATTATTATAATTTACATCAATTGGCTTTCCGTATAATGATAAGATAAAATACAATAGAAAACAGAAGCTAATAGCATAACTTACAATCTAGTTACTGATTCATGTAACATGATTTAAATATGTAAACAAATAAACTCAAAAATAGCATCAACGTAAAACATAAAATGGACCAAACATATAACCCTGTACAAAAAAGCATTGGCTATCCACTCTCAAGTTGAACAATAACAGTCGTAGAAGGCAACCACTCATTCTTAAAAACCATTATTATTAAAGCAAAGTGTTCGTAGCAGAAAAAAAAGGTGGGGAAGCTCTCCCTTCCCGGTACTGATGTAGTTGGATTATCCTAATCACAAAAATCCTTAATTAAAATGAGATTCCAACTCAGCAGCTAAGGTCAAACCTTCCATTTACTACAAAAATAGAATCCTAAAGGTTGAGAAATAGCCAGTTGCAACTCTAACAAACAACATCTAATCTCATTTTAATATATTACAAACAAGAACAATTAAAGGAAGGATATTAAGCATATAACTATAAAGTATATATCCACAAAGGAAGAAATCATTACTTGGGAAGGGAGGAAGCCTTCTCCCGCATCCTCTGAATAAAGCGACCATTGTGAAAGCTCCGACCAGAGACATCTGAGTGAAACTTCTCCAAGGGGTAAGAAAGACGAGTATGTTTCCCATCCTTGAAAAGAGCATAACCAAACACTTGCTGCGCATCAATTTTATCTACACAATCTACAAATAAACACAAGACAGACAAGTTTAGAAAACTTCTAGAGAGAATCTACAGTATATATTTGAAATCTAGAAGTAAAATAAACGGCAGGCATGTACTTAATATTTAGATTACCTTCAAGCCCCAACTCGATCAATTTGAGATAGCCACCTGGTTGTAGCAACTCTCCAACAATTCGGTCAGGTTCACTCAGATCTCTTTCTATGACGTGTACTCGACGCCCATCCTATAACACAATATTTATGCAGTCAACATCCCTATCTATCGGAAAGCAGTACTCAAACTCTACCACAATTCGTATTTAAAATCCCCACAAAATATGCATGTCCTTAATCTCACTGATAAACAACACAATCAAAGTTCGAGTTTCAACCGAATAAATTACCCAAAATGAAGTTCAGTTTTCAAGTGGTCATACCAAACAGTATACCTAGAAGACATGACTATAACAACCAAGCCAGACAGGCAATTAATAACACCGTGATAACCTAACAACAGAAATCATAGATCCGAATCCTCAAAGGTGAGCAACTCAATTTCGAAGATAATGTGTAATCTCATATGGAAAAAAAAGAAAAAAAAGTCATCTGTTAATATTACACAGGCATTACAAATCATGGAGATGTTATTAATACCTACTTACTTTGCTCACTCAAAAATCACACTCCTGCGAGATTTGGAAATAGCAGAAACAAGCCAACAAACTGCTATAAAATTAATTTATAAAAATAAGTATTTTACTGAGAACTATAAATTTGGTAGCTTCCCACAAATACCTATCCTCATAAAGCTGGAATTATTAGGCTGCAGTGCTGCGCATAGATATTGACGACATAAACTTTCGCATTCAATTTTGACTCTGTCCTCTAATGTATTATTTCAAAAATAAAAATAATATAAAAAAGCACTTATCATCTTATTCGTTCTAAATCAAAACAATCTTCAGACTTCCGCAGCTTAGAAAAGAAAAACTCAGAACTCCGAATCGTTACGTCGTCGTTTTTCGTTTCTCAAAATGGATAGAAGAAGTGAGTGAGTGAGAGAGAGAGAGAGAGAGAGAGAAAACGCAGCTTCACACTTTCATTGGTGAAACAGGTCTTTCTTATGCTCCGTTCTTCCAAATTAATTCAATTTTTTTAAGAAACGCAAACGCAAGAAAAATAAGAGCAATGACAAATAAGTGTCAGACGTGAGAGGCATGTGCGTGCTTGTGTTTGTTTCATGTTCGTCATTCATCGGTAATAATAATCACATGCAAGAGGAACGGATCGACAACAACGAAACGCGAGCTTCAGATCAGAACTACCTTCCCGAGAGTGTGCGCCAGAGCTGCGCCGGCTACACCGGCTCCGACTATAATGACGTCAGCGTCACCGTCGCGTTTCTTCGATCTGCATTCATCGGCGGAGGTGGTAACGGTTTCGGACAACTCGATCCTCTTCTCCGGCGAAGCGCGACGACGGCTGGCTCCGCCGCAGGTGAGGCTGTAGAGAGCGAAGAGACTCAGAACTGAGCACAAAATCCAACCGACAACGTACGGATCCGCCATTGTGAAAAAACAAATCGGAGAAATCTCGCCGGAAAAGAACGACGGCGACGCTGACGACGACGGAGAATGAAGAAGATGTGTGGTTCTGTTCGCTCTCCCTCCCTCTCTCTCTCTGGTTCCTCTCTCTGCCTCGCTGGCAGAGAAAATTTGGAACGTTTTCAGTTAGGGAAAGCATAACTAGTAGAGGTGGGGTTTTATAGGGCCATGCGAGACACGAGGCTAGTTGTTTACAATGACCACGGTGTCACCACATTAGCTGTATTTCGCAACAAAACAACTCTTTAAATGTATAATAAAATTTATGTTAAATAATATTTTTTAATTTATTTATTATTGTTTTCTATATTAATTTTTTTTTAAGAATTTAACTTCATATTTTAATTAATTTTATTAACATAAGAAGTGATAATAATATTAGTCCGTCCAAAAAGGAAACTGTTATGATAATAATACAACAAAATTTAATTTATTTATTAAAAAACGTTTAAGAGATATTAAAGTAAGACTTATAACATCATAAATATTATAATATTAATATATTAATACATAAATATATCATAATATTTTTTTAAATCATTAAAAATTAATAAATAAATTAATTTTTAAAAATATAACTAGATGATTGAATCTGACATAGTCATCTCCTCATAAGCTTATATGAACGAAATTAAATGCAGAAATTTAAAAACAGTGAAAAATAAACACACAAGTCCATGATAAGATTATGAGATGACTTAAAAAAGTGTAGAAAATCGAGAGAGCAAGAAAGTAAGACAATGAGCGAGTGGAGAGGGATAAAGGAATCCAAAAAATATACACTGTAAAGCAATATTTATAAAACGTTTAAGAGATATTAAAGTAAGACTTATAACATCATAAATATTATAATATTAATATATTAATACATAAATATATCATAATATTTTTTTAAATCATTAAAAATTAATAAACAAATTAATTTTTAAAAATATAACTAAATTAATACTAAAAGAATTAAAAAGTTAAAAGTTTAAAATATATATATTTAACCTAAAATTTACATAAATAAAATATTATTTCCAGCTAATATGTCGTTGGACAATGGTCACAACTCCCGTACTGCTTTGACTGTTTTCCTTCTGGTTCCGCCCTCCATCGCGCAATGAGACGTGAGTCAATGAAAGTCTAGATAAAATTTTAGTTACAATTGCCTCTTGAAATTTTAAAAATGATTTTAAGAATTTTTTTTTTTAACAAATATACCATTTTAATCAAATGTTTTTTTTTTTTCAAATAACCCATTTACTATATATAAATCGATTTGGAAAAGAGAAAATCAAATTCTCACATGAAATTTGCTTTTGTGTTCTTTTAAATTCACAATGATAAATTGATTGACAATGTACCAATTCTCAAATGCCTTTTAAAAAATCTCTCAATTTCTTCAAAAACTTAATTAATTACTTTAAATCACTTATATTAGCTTTTAGAATAATTTTTATTTTGTAAATAAGTTTTGTAATTATGGTGAATTTTTATTAAAAAGTATAAATTTACAATTTTTATTATCCGGAATAATCGATGACATATACATCAATTGAAAAATATTCTTACTCTAAAACTTAAGACACAAAAAGAATTCTATCCATGTTGTGAGGTTATTATGTCTATTTAGTTTCTTTATCTTGTATATGTTACATTTAATGTTTGTTCTCTCTCATTTATGTTTCCTTTTCATACACTTTTTAACTATTACTGAAACTTTTTTCAATTATTCCGCTATAAATACAACATAAAAAATAATTTGATTAAAATTATTAAATTATTCATATTTTTATTAAAAATTAAAGATTAATTAAATTAAATTCATTTAAATATGTATGTTTTTATTAAAATATTAAATATCTATATTTAAAATCCTAATAACATACACTCTAATATAACTTTTTTTCTATTAATTGAAAATTATATAAATATTTATTTCGAATTAACAATATTTACCCAAATAATAAATAATTTAGAACTAATTATTTTAAATGATTTGGAATTGTAAATTTATTGTTTTGATAAAAAAATCATAAATAAATAATTATAAAACTTATTTACAATCATCTAAAAGTATTAAAATTAAAAAAATCATAAATGTTAAATATATATTCTAAAAATTATTATAAATTATTTTTAAGTAATTATTTAATTTATTAAAATTAATGAAAAATTACTGGCTGTCCAGTAGCAAACAAGTATAGTAGAAATTGGTTGACTACTAACCAATTTTTCACTTAAAAAAAAAACACAGTTTCATAAAAGCGATTTCTCATTTTTGTAAAATAATTTGATCATTTAAGTAAATGTTTAATTAAAACAGTATATTTTTAAAATAATATTTTTAATGCAATTATTTATTTAATTATTTAAAAAATAATATAGAAAAATTAGTCCAACTTCAGCTGCACTTATAACTAATATATTTATTGTAAAGTTATAAGATTTTTTTAATTTGGCCAAAAAAAATAATTACAAATTTGTTTTTTTATTAATTTCGTCTAATCAATAAATTGTATTTTATATTCTTAAATTTTGCAATTTGTTTTATATTACAAAATAATATGTATTTAAATTTAAAATAAATGAATTTTCAACGTTTTTTATTTTCTATATTTATTTTTTACAAAATTATAAACTATAAATATCGCTTATTCACATTATATTTTAGACATTGAAAAGTATTACTAGCAATTGTCAATTTATGTTGTTTTTTGAAACACATATTATGTGATAATAGGAATTAAAACAATAAATTAATTATATTTTATACAATATTAAAGTAACACGTAAAAAATTCAAATATATTGAAATTTTTAAATATATATTTAAGCTTATAATCAAATGCGAGTATAATAGATTTTAAAATTAATTGCAATTCCATACATTAACTTTCTTTGACCATGCTTGGGTAGTATTATTAGCATTAAAATTTTCAACTATTTTCGAGATTTAAAAAAAAAACTGTAGTTTGAAATTTCAATTGTGAGTGTTAGGTGAAATTTAATATGAAAAATTAAGTTGATTTGTGAAAACGAAAATTTTAAATTTATGAATATTTTGTAATAATATAATTTTCTTTTAATTTAATAAATTTTTTATAAAACTTTATTCAAATAAAATTATTTCTTAGCAAGTTAATCACTATAACAATAATGACCACATATATAATTAAATATAACTGCTTTTATTTTATTTGTTTAGATTCGGTGGAATAATTTTTTTTTAATTCTTCATAAAATAAAATAAAGTAAATAGATTGTTCACACGTCATGGAACAATCTCATAAATACTTGTTGTTATTATTAAGAAAAAAACTTGACTAAAATTAAATAATTGAGATGATATATTCTAGTGTATAGTAAAAGATGATCTATATTAATATAATATTAGTACTATCCAAAATACTTAAAATATTTATATACATAACAATTTTATAATTATATTTAAAAGATACAATTATCTAGGCATAAATTAATAATTTAATTTATAACTTACGTTAAGTGGTAAAAATTAATATAATTATGTTTTTAATTGTCATGTAACTACTTAAATATTATTGATTTTAACCTATTTTTCTTTAATGTAGGATGTATTGGTAGAACACATTGATAGAAGAGCAAATATCATAATTGTGAAGATAATTGAAGAAAAAGTGAAAGAAAGAAGAAGATTTTCAACTGGAAATTCGTTCGAGTGTCATCTACGCTCGCTTGAGCGAATATACAACAAAGCTTTCGGGAGTTCACTTGCTCAAGCGTCTTCCATTCTCGCTTGAGCGAAAATACGACAAACCTCTCAGGTGTGCACTCGCTCAAGCGACACCTACTCTCGCTTGAGCAAAAATACGACAAAGTTCTCGGATTTCTACTCGCTCAAGCGAACATCTTTCGCTTAAGCGAAAGTTGCTATTTTTCGCTCAAGTGAATAATGGATCACTTGAGCGAATGATGCGAGTCCATACCCAATATTTTCTATAAAAAGATAAGATGCGTTTTGAGATGTAATTTTAGGTTTTGGGAGAAGAAGTGCGACTGTTGTTCTGTTATTCAAGGATTATTCAATTCTTCCTCAACTTAGAGCATTGTAATGACTACCATGAATGACTAACTTCATTCTCTTAGGATTGGGTGCACTTCCTTGTAACTCTTTTGTGTCATGGTGATATTTGAGATATTAATTTATGTTTTGATGTTGTTATTCTTATATTTTGTGCCTTGGAATGAATTATTTTGGATGTTTGGATATGATTGGAAAATATATCTTGAAACCCTAGATCAGGTAAGAATATTTGCTATGTTAATTACCAGGAATGGAATAAATGTATCAAGTGCTTAACACCCTAAACCTAATACTGAAAAATCTCGTAACTGTGTGAGGAATCGACTTTTATCAGGTTTTCTTATGAATATCACATGCGAAGAATCAAAGTGAATGATTTGAGTAGGTGGTACCAACATTGATAGGTTAATTGATGTTCTTAATTTGACCTAGTCATTCTACAAAAGAGGGAAAAAGAAGGAAGTCAATCCTAAGTTCTTTTATTTGATATTTTCTAAACGCAATTTACAGTTCTTTGTCATTTAATTTTCATCACAATCTTTATGAAAACTCAATTTTTATTTCAATACACTTAGTAAGCATATGATTTGGAATTTTCATTGAAACTGTTCCTCGTGGGATCGACTTTTATTTAATTGAAATACTATATTGCGATTGATAATTTTGGTACGCTTGCCAAATATTCAACAAGTATTTTTGGCGTCGTTGCAGGGGAACGGTGTTCTTAGGAAAGTCTTTGTCTAACTTATTATTTGTTTTTTATTTTGATTTTATTATTGTTATTGTTATCTTGTGCTAATTCTTTTTAGTTGCTCGATTTATGCTTTCAAGAGGACATGTATCTACAGATTAGTTAGAATTTGATCCTGAGATTGAAAAGGCTGCTCGTAGAAATCGGAGTAGAAGAAGAAGAG